AAATTTAGGATTAGGAAACCATAGCATCAAAGTTACTTGTCACAAAGAAAAAGCAGTTCACGAAGGCTAATCTCAGCATTATCATTTGAGCTCTATTAAACCTGCCAAATGGAGCAGCTTTCTTCCAAATACCAAGCAAATAATAAATATGAAGTCTGAAACTGGAAGCATCAATAGTGCTTGAACAGAGACACTTTAAAATGCCATTGGAAGTGCTTATTGCCACCACTCAGGGTACTCATTACTATAATAAAAAAGTACAGAAGTATATGCTCATCCTTATACAAATACAACACTGATTACACATACAGAGAGTAGTCCTGTTCTAGGACACGATGCCATATTTGCACAGCTCTTATCACAAATACTTTCAAACTTCAGCAATACTTTAAGTATATTAATGTTTGCTGTGTTCATTGATAGCTTTTACATGACTTTTATATTTACAACCTGCTGCTCTGATCTGCTACTTGAAAATTAAGTGCATTTTTAATGGTGTGCAGCTGATTTACATAGGACAACAGTGCTGATTAAGAGATAAACTGCTGAAATTTGGAACTGAGGCCAGGACGGAGGAAGGTGAGGTGGTTACCAGGGGTCTGTGCCCTAATGAGATCCACTTGAAGGAACAAGCCATCAGCTGCAGCCTATCTCTCTTGGCCACCTCATGTCACACCCACATGACTGACACTGTGTGACCCCATGCAAAGGCACACTAAGCAGAGTCGTGTATCAAGGGAGAAGTAAGCCGAGAGTTCTGCATCTTTCTGCAGCTTGCCCTGCGCTATAATGCCAACATAAACAAGTTGGACGAAGAGCACGCAGGTCCCCTTCTTCTTGAAAGAAGACAGCAAATAAGCTTTAAATAACCTCCTCAGAAACCAGACCTCTAGGCTATTCATATCAGACGTGAAAGTTGGACACACTCCTCGCAACACAGACTGGAAGTCTAAAAAGGGGATAAAGTGCTTTGTGAGAGGAGTCAGTGCTGACTCTTGCTGTGCTTTCAAAACTTCTGGTCAGATCCTGCAGCTTGGCTTTACAGGCAGTATCATCATCACATGTAGCACACAGGAATAAACATAACCATGGCTCTTTTTACATGAGTCTCTATTATCCAAATACACAGAGAGCCATCTGGCAGAAATCACCTGCAGGGCTTGTATATGATGTTTACCAACTGTCAGAGGATCTCTTTTAAATGACTGATCAGCCAAGAAGAACAAACCTATAAGCAGTTCTTCCGTTACAGATTTGTATCTTGGATATCAAAAATTATTAAAAGCCAAGTACATTCCAGTGGCACGAGAAAAACTCTGAATAAAACCAGGACATTTGCATCCAAGGGTAGTTTTCCACATTAAGCAGCCTGTTATCAACCCAAATCCAACACACCTAACCCTGGAGCAACAGATGCTGCTGCAGATGTAATAGGACTAATGATGTCCCAGCTCAAGAACACACCTGGAGAGTAGTAGGTGACTTATTTGACAGAAAAAACATGCAATGAGATTTGTGTGCTCAATTCCTTTAACATTTCTTTGACTTGCTGTAGGAATGATACAGCAAAGAGTATCTCTCCTAAAAAAAGATAATTCATTCTTTATGGCTGTTATGATATGAATATACTTGTACAGTCTTCATGTCTGGAGAACAGGTACTCCTCAGATGAACAACAGAAACACTGATTTTGATCAAAACCAAAGCAAATTTCATTTCAACCTGTCTTACCCAGAGCTTTACTTGAACACCTTTACTCCAGGTAACCTGCAACTCGCTTATTTGCTAACTTTGTGTCTTACAAGACATGCATTTTCTTTTCAGCAAGATAATGCTTTAAGTTACTTTCACTGTATTAAACACATTGGACATTGTTCCCAACAAAGCAGGCACTGAAGAGGATACGCATCCTTTCCAGTTGTAGCAATTAGCTATTTACACTGAAAATCATAAAAAATAACACATCTGACTCACAAGAGACTGTTCAACCAAACCAATTTGTAACAAAGCCCAGAGTCCTCAGGTCAGGGCAGTACTCTGTACAGGAGGAGCCCATTGACTTGGTGCCTTCACATCAGGCTGGCAATACTTCTAATATGACAGGGGTGGATATTGCTAGTTCCAGGTATGACTGGGGGGATGCAGTGCTTCCCAGTGTAACACAGAGATCTCCAGCAGTTTGGAGTCTCAAAGGAAAAAGCTTACCACTAACCATACAACATGACAGCAGCAGAGCTACTAATTCAGGAGAATTTGCACCCAGTAATATGGCAAACTGTTCCCCTCCCCTGATCCATCTGTACTACAGGTCAGAAAGAATGGACAGGCCATTTACCAGTGTGGGAGATAACCACAACAAAGTGAAGGCAGCACCACGAAAAAGGGGAAAATCAGCATTATGGGCTCACCCACATGAGCAACAGAGGTGCCAGGACCAGCCTGCACTAGGAAGGGGTCCACCACTGTCAGTTAACCCTGGCTATGCTGTGTCTCTGGAAAGTCCTATTAGGCTGCTGCACAAAAAGCACAATCCCAAACTGGAAGCAACATCTGGAAGAAGGCCAACAAACATTTTAACTCTCTGCCTTGCTGCAGTATCTATCTCTTCTCTGTTTTCTGCAAGCACAGGCAAGAAAACCCCAAAACAACCCCAACATTATTCTTAATGACCAATTTTTTACACCCACCCTTCTCCCCCCCCAAATGGTATGAAAAATGTCAGTCTATTTGTCATTGTCCATTTGAGGTACTTTCTGACCCCAGAAACTGACACTTGCAAACTGGACAGAGTTTGCTTTTCTGTGGCTTAGGGCACGATCTACCATCGCTCAGTTACTTAATCACTTTACCCTGTGCATGGGTGATGAGATAGGTCCTGTCGGATCTTTTTTGCTGCAACAAAATGACTGTACAAGGCAGTGACCTGGGTGACCTGGCATCCCCAGGAATGTGAATTTCCCTGCCAGCCTCCTGCCTGCTAACAGCCCCAAGGCCAAGGTGATGGGCTTACCCGGTAGCCTATGTCAGCCTAAGGGGGGCACTCCCTAGGAGGCTCTACCTGACAGACCATGCCCAAATCTTACCTCTGGGCACCCAGATTCAGTAATTCCCACCAAACTCTATTTCACTTCTTTGCTCTCAACTGCCCCTGCATGGCTCCCTCCTGCCTAAGTCTGATAAAATACAAGATCAGAAACAAAAGAAAACACAGCACAAGTTTTCAGCCTGCAACTGGTTTGCTAACATGGGTGCTTCTGGCTGTAAGCAGACAAGACAGCTAGCTCTCTACACTGCCACTGTATCACACTGAACACACATACACCCTTCAACAGTCTAGAATCCTTTCAGGAAGGCCCATCGATAGGAATAACTTTTCCTGTAGTGCCATCTTCTGGATTAGGGTGTAGGAACACATTAGCTGAAACATTGATCAAAAGATATTTATTTGTTAAAAACTATTACAACAGCTTTAGACTATGGATCTGTGGAAACGGCCAAACCACGGGAATTCTCTCAACAGATTATCTACAGTTTACCTCTCAATTAATTATTAGCTTTAAAATGACAAGACTTTGACCATTATTTTCTGGCTCAATCTGCTTTGTGTTTTGAGCCACTGCAATCCTGCTTTTTAGATTTTGTTCTGTTTCTCAGCGAACACGAAGGCTGATTGCTTACAAATTTTGTGCCACCTCAGGACTCCGGAAAGCGTGACAGCTCCCCAACACCACGTGGAGAGGGAGAAAAGCAGGTAAAATCCTACTGATGGGGCCTGTATATTGCTTTAACCCAATCCTCATCACAGTGGTGGTTGTAGTTTCTAGTCAGTTTGTAGCTCGGGGTTTTGTAGGTAAAGAAGCAGGTAGGACCTCCTTTCTCATTGAAAGATCCCAGCCTGGTCTGGGTTGGAAGGGACCTTAAAGCTCATCCAGTTCCAACCCCTGCCATGGGCAGGGACCCCTTCCACTAGAGCAGGGTGCTCCAAGCCCCCGTGTCCAACCTGGCCTTGAACACTGCCAGGGATGGGGCAGCCACAGCTTCTCTGGGCACCCTGTGCCAGCGCCTCAGCACCCTCACAGGTAAGAGCTTCTGCCTAAGAGCTCATCTCAGTCTCCCCTGTTCTGGCAGGTTAAAGCTATTCCCCTTGTCCTGTCCCTATGGGCCTTTGTCCAAAGCCCCTCTCCAGATGACCACTTGCAGCTCAAAACAGTGAATTCAGGAGAGTGTTCTCTCTCACCTGTGCAGTGTGGTGACCACATGAGCTGAAGGGAGGAAGAACTATGACTTAAATCTTTATTCTTTCCCCCACCTCCTGTTTTTCTTTTCCTGACAATAACGATCCCTCATCCTCCTGCACACAACGATCATAAACACCTTCCTCACCTTCACTGAAGGATTTTGGTATACAGGTTCCATAGACTAAAACCCACTGATGTGAGGCCGCCAGGGTTCTACCGCCACTATGGGTCCCGAGGGCCGTGGCTGGGCCGGGTGGTGCCATCCCGCCCCGCACCGCAGGAGGACGCAGGCTCCCTCGTCCCTGCAGACCCGGGAGGGGTGACAGACCCGCCCCTGAGGAGGGGGTACGGACGGACGGAGCCAGGACAAAGCCGGCAGCGGCTGTGACCCCCCGCAACAACGGGAACCCTTGGAGCCGTAATCCCCTTCGTGCCCCCTTCCTCGGTGCCCCCGAGCGGCGTTTGTTCCCGCTCCCCTCTGGAACGTGATTTCAAAACGGCGTTATTACAACAATTAATATAGATGTTTCAGCGTAATCCTGCCCGGATCAAGCCGAGGATTTGCACCCCGCGAAGGCGGGAGCCGAGATGGCTCCAGGGGTGCGTGTTGTGACAGAGACAGCGGGCAGCAGAAACGCCCTCACCACAGAAGCTGAGGGGACGCAGACGGAAGACAGGAGCCGCCATGGACCGACCCGGAAAGAAAACAATAATCTGTAATTAACAGTAACGTGACCGTGCCCCGCCTGCTGCTGGCCAGCCCTGCCCTGCCCTGCCCTGTCCCGTCCCTCCGCGGCGTAAGATGGCGGTTCGGTTGTTCTGTCTGAGGGGATTGCTGCGGGCCGTCGGCCCCCGGCGCTTCTCTGCCCAGGCCAGGTTAGCGGGGCGCGGGGCCGCCGCTGGTGGGCAGCGTCGGGGATAATGAGGGGTTGAGGCGCGGGTGGGGAGGCGGATGTGTAGTGGGGGTGCCCGGGTGCCGGAGTCTGGGGTATAACTCCGTGTATGTGTTGATGGGCTTGCACATGCTATATGTATATAGGCACGTATATATACTATGTGTGTATATATATATGTATACATACTATGTGAATATATATATACGTTGTGGGCGTCCCTGTGTATGCATTTGGAGGGGTGCGGGTGTGTGCTATGTGTATGTGTGGCAGGAAGGTTATAGGCACAGGTCTATGTGTATGTACCGATGTATGTGTGTGCGTGTGCTTCCACTGCAGGAGGTAACTGGGGTCTGGTGGCCCCCAGGTCTGGACCCCCCTGCTCCATGCCCTGGCCTGTGGCCTGGTTCCCCCTTGGCCTGAGAGCCCCCCTGGATACCCTGAGCTGTGTCATGCCACACACCACACACCCCCGCCCCAGCCTCGGGCCTAGGAGCCTGCCGAGCCCCCAGTGCCTGACAGGTTCGGGATCTCCTATGTATCCCATGATGGGGCCGACCTTTGCCCCACTTCCCATCCACGCTCCGGGAACATTGAGTTCTGTAGTGGCAGCAGGTGACAGGCTGGACATTGCTTCTCCTGGGAACCCTGGACCCATGGCAGCAGGGCACTTGGAATGGTGTTTCTGGGGAGCAGAAATGCAGAGACATCTTCATGCTTCCTCTGACCTTTAGTCTGTGTCTCCTAGGGATGTGGTTGGTGTGCTGGAGCAGCCTGGCCCTTCCTGTGTGCCTCATGGGCTGTGAGCCACAATTAAGTGGTCTTAAATACAGCTCAGCAGCATCTTAAACAGCTTTAAACATATGACGGAGTTTTTGGGAGAGCTCAGCATGGAAAGCCTGTGTTTGGGGTTCCAAAGCAAGTTGCAGTAGCCTGCTGCTTTCAGATATCACTAGAAGTAAATAGAGTCTCTGTTTCAGGCATGTTTAATCCTTTGCACCAGGAACAGTATGGGTAACTTCATGTGGCAGTAAATAAAGACCTTTGTCTTGGTAATGGAGTAAGTGTAGGCTCAGTTAAGCCCTGTGGGACTGCACAAAATTACTGTGCTGAGGATCTGAGGAGAGAGGAACAAAATAGTTTGAGAAAGGAACAGTGAATGCTTTCCCATTTAATATAGCTCAGCTCTGTATTTCTAATTTCTGGTGTTTTGTAGCAATAAAATAAAAACAAGTCAAGGAACACAAAGAAATGACTTTTCATTTCAGCCCTACAGTAGTTATGTCATCCTTGACATTCTAAGCCCCTTCAAAAGCTTCAGACCCTTCCTTGTTACTTTGTAATTGCACTTCCCTTGTGGTTTCAGCTACTGACATCTACTGTTGTTTGAGTTCTTACTTATTGTTAAAGGAGCTTTTTTGCTTTTAGGTTTGTTTGTATCAGAGTTTTGGGAGGATTAGCCTTCCTCTACATCAAAGATACTGAAAGCTAGAAGGAATTAAAAAGTTTAGATTATAACTATGCAGGTATATATAAGAATGCAGAGTATACCACCACCCTCAGAGCATGCAAATCCATATCGTACTTGCTTATATTTTGAGTGTGTGAATTTTCAATGTCATGGGTTTGGAGGCTTTTGGGAGCATATAGAGAATGAACAAAACTGACAAAAAAGTGTACTTGTTCAAGAAGTTACCCTTTCAGTTTAAATGGAGCTGAAGTGCATCTTGGAGGTTGGGTGGCAGAGAGAGAAGGCAGTGGTGATTTTTAGCATCTCTAATGACTAGAAACTTCATCCTTTCACCTATGTATGTATTATGATTGGTTTTTATTTAGCTGGAGTGTTAAGGACAAACTGGTCTTGCTTTACCACCTTTCATAGCCCAGTGAAGTACAGTGTCCGTTAATTTTTACATTTATTGTGGGTATTGTTTAGACCTAATAGTGTGCAAGGCTTGGGATGTGAAATATGTTTAACAGTGCAGGTGTCCTCTTTCTTTTAAAGGGTTATGTAAATGTGGTGTGCTAACAGATGCTTTCATTTGTCTTTTTTAGTCCTCTGCAAGCTGAGCAGCATGGCACAAAGCGCCCTGAACCATCTTCTGCTAAAAGCTTGCTTGATATAGGCACTCGGAGGATCTTCTCAGCAGAACATGATATCTTCAGGGAGAGTGCCAGGAAGTTCTTTCAGGAAGAAGTGGTGCCTTTTCATGCAGAGTAAGATAGCTCTTACAAATTCTGGTTTGCCAAATAATGTGCATTTTTCCCCAGAAATGCCTTTTGGGGGTGTTAATATGACAGGATAAACAGAATTTTTGTTTTCATCACAAGCTTTTTAATTTACTCAGTTAAAACAAACCTGCCTGTGAAAATCATATGGGGGAGGGGGAGGAGAAATCACACCTAAACAAAATTAACTGCATTATTTGAGCTCCAGTGCAGGCAATCTTGTCTTTAATCCTACGAGCAGACAAATGCAGTTTGGTGAGTTGCAGCAAAAGAATCTCTGCTTGTAGGTATTAACTCTGACACTAATGTCCTGGGGGTGGAATTAGGGAAACAGTTCAGTTCTTGAGCTATTGCACTGCTGTGATCTAAAAAAAGCATTGACACTGTGTCTGGGTTACATTGCAGTAGGTTTGTCAATACGGTACAGGTAGGATGGTAATTATGTATTACCAACACATTTGCACAGAGTATCTCTGTTTACATTTCTGTCTTTTTATTTTTTGCTTCTGTGGAAATGTGTGGTCTTTGCACAGATTAGAAGCCTTCTAATTCCGTTGAACTAGAGCTGGAGGGTGTTTTTCTCCCTTATTTTAGTTATAGCAAGTCATGTTATGGTTGGAGAAAGTAAATTAACTAAGAACATATTTTTGAACAAAAAACCTTAAGCTGCAGAAGTGTCTTTAAGCAAGTTTTCTTTATCTGAAAAATAGCCCTGCAAAAACATCAGGGGTTAGTGAAGGGCTTGTTCATAGAATCCCAGACAGGTTTGGGTTGGAAGGGAACTTAAAGCTCATTCAGTTCCAACCCCTGCCACAGGCAGGGATGCGTTCTACTAGAGCAGGTTGCTCCAAGCCCCTGTGTCCAACCTGGCGTCCAACACTGCCAGGGATGGGGCAGCCACAGCTTCTCTGGGCACCCTGTGCCAGCGCCTCAACACCCTCACAGAGAAGAACTTCTGCCTAATCTGTAATACAAATCTCCCCTCTGTCAGTTTAAATCATTCCCCCTTGTTCTGTTGCTGCAAGTTGAAAGTCTCTCTCCAGGTTTTTTGTTGGCCTCTTCAGGTACTGAAAGGCTTCTGTAAGGTCTCTCTGGAGCTTTCTCTTCTCCAGGCTGAACCAGCCTGGCTCCAGAGCAGAGCTGCTCCAGCCCTCGCAGCATCTCCATGGCCTCCTCTGGACTCGCTCCAACAGCTCCACATCCCTCTTGTGCCCCAGAGCTGGATCAGGACTGCAGGAGGGGTCTCCCCAGAGCACAGCAGGGAGAATCCCCTCCATGACCTGCTGTTCACGCTCTGGAGGTGCAGCCCAGCACACAGGGGTGGTTCTGGACTGCAGGTGCACACTACTGGGTCATGCTGAGCTTCTCATCAACCAACACCCCCAAGTCTTTCTTCTTAGGGTTGCTCTTAATCCATTATCAGCTCAGCCTGTGTTTGTACTTGGGATTGCCCCAACCCAGGCCTTGCAGTATTAATTATTGCACTTCCATTGTTCTTGAATCTCGCTGCTAGATGAGTTTCCTGATGCAGCTTACAGTGTGTTCCCACAAACAGCTGAGGTGGCACAATTGAGTGGGTGGGGTGTTGAGGCTCTGGGGCAGAAATGAACAGCAGGAGGCAATGGAAACAGTTTGCATTAGGGTTGTTGCCAGCTATTTTTTTTCATCCTCCAACCATGACCTCAAAGCACGATGCTTTTCCACTGAACAATCATATCCTATCCACAAAAACAGATGTTTTCCCTCATCTTTTGTTAGAATGACTTCTGATGTAGGTCTGTGAATGGGTACTGGCTCTGCTTGAGACTGGTGAAGATCCAGCTAGCTTGCTGATAGAGTGATTTGCCAGGCAAACTGGAATAAGCTGGACTTTTATTTTTGTATCACTTCAGCAACCTATGAACTGTTCTTTTTTCAGACCTTTCAATTAAAGGAGGCTTCAGGCTTAGTTTATGAAGTAGAGACAAGAATGGCCCTGAAAGTGGTGGTGGGGAAGCAAAGATGCTCATGAGAGAGGTTTGTTTAAGATTTCCCATGTAAGAACAAAAGGTCTGGGAATGAGCTTAAATATGTAGGATAAGATACCTGACTGTGGATAAAGTTCTGTGGCATGGCTCTGCTGCACACAGGTATGTCAGAGGAGAGGTTCTGGTATATTCTATCTACCATAGGACTTCAGAATTGTGTTGTTTTGTTTTTTTTAAAACGCTCTAAAAACAAAAGCTGGGCCATTAATGTCTGTCTGATTTTATGGTGAGTTGGCAAACTCCATAAAAAGGCACTGTTTTTCCAAGAGTAAGTGATTCCTGTGGTGTTAAAGTTTGCAAAGTGTCAGCAAATAAGCCTCAAGTATCTGTTTACAATCTTGAAACTTCCTTAAAGCAGTAATTTACCATGATACAGAACTGACTTGTGATAAGTGCACAGGAGCTGACTTTATATAAAAGTAACTAATATGTTAATGTTCGGTTCTGATGAAGCAGTTCTCACTGATAGAGTTGAAATCTTTCACAAAAGGTAGTGATGTGTTCCACTCATTTTGTACATGGGGAAAATGGAATATCAGGAAGATAAATACCTGCTCATAATTATCCAGCTGGTTGTAGCTAAAGCAGTCTGGTACTCAGTCCAATAGACAGCACTGTCTTCCATAGCAATTCTGAAAGAGACGTCAGGTTATATGCTGGAAGTTCAAACTTGTACAGTTGGTGCCCTGTTGTGTCCACAGTGGCATCTGTGGACTTGGAGAATAAAAGAACTATTATTAAGCCATCACTTCTTAGCTGCAAAATATCATTGTCCACATACCCTACACGTTGTCTGCTGGTGAGACTGAAAGCCTCTTCCTATGCGGTAAAACCCAGCTGCGGGTGTTGCAGTGTGAAGCAGCAGCCGTGACAAATAAGCAGTAGCACATGGGGGATTTAATGCATAGCTGTCCTTGTGCTCTTTTTGCAGGTGGGAGAAGGATGGCCAGGTGAGCAGGGAGCTCTGGGAAAAGGCTGGGCAGCAGGGATTGCTGGGTGTTGCTATCGCTGAAAAGCATGGAGGCATTGGAGCAGATATCCTCTCTTCAGCCGTGGTCTGGGAGGAGCAGTGAGTATCACATGCTTTGGGAAGAATTTCAGTGATGTTATCAAGAGACTGTTATTTTTCCATAAGGTGACCTCATTGTGGAATATGTTTGCTTACAGAAAATTGTGTTATCTTCCTCATGGAAATAATAGCTTAGACCCTCTTGTTTTAAGTATTATAGATTATTGTTTTATGTAACAAATGTCATTGTGCTCCACTGTTAGGGCTTTGTGGCTAGGAGAAGGGTTTTTGTTAGCCTGGTAAGCTATATACCCATTTGGCTGTGAAAATACATTCTATAAATAACAGTGCAAGTGCCACAGCTCGGATTGCCTGAGACTTCTGTGTGGTGGGGCTTTCTTCATTGTTGGGTCTGTGTTGTAACAGTGTAAAGCTCAGTGTTTAATCTCTGTAGTACTTTTTCTGAACTTCTTTTCCCCTACTCCCCAAGGATGTATGTTAACTGTTCTGGCCCAGGATTCAGCCTTCATTCAGATATAGTCATGCCCTACATTGCAAACTATGGCTCTGAAGAGCAGATAAAACACTTCATCCCCAGAATGATCGCAGGCAAGTGCATTGGAGCTATTGCCATGACAGAGCCTGGGGCTGGCAGGTAAGCTAAATAGTAAAACAATGGTCTTAACATTATGTGCTATTGATTTGTCAGTGAAAGCAATTCTGAGCCTCCTGGTTACATGGTCGTTTTAGTTACTAGACAATACCCTTGATTAGGTAGGACCTCAAAAACCTTGTTATACTTTACAGCTTTGTCATTTTCAAGATACTTGATCACAATCCATTTCTGTATCATCCCACTGTGGGCAAATAATGCTTTGTGTTTGCTTTTATAGTCAGAGTTTATAGTTACTAACTTGCTTGTCATGTGAACAGAATTTTAATACCCAGGGTAGTCAGGAGAAAATTACATACCTCCGTAAAGAGGGCTTGACTTTTACTATTAGCTTTTGTTGTGGAACAGAATGCCCTGTTTTGTTTCCTCTGAATCCTTTCAAACAGAGAACTGCCCCTCCTTGCTTGTAGTTACTGAAGGGCAGACAGCCCATGTTCGGAGTAGACACAGCTGATCTGGCCAGTTCCCAAAACAGAGGGACAGGTGAAAAGCAAAACTTGGTGTCATGCTTTTACAAACGGTAGATGTTGCCAGTGGCTTTTTACAGAACCTCCTGATAAGGGTTGAGCCTGCTTAGAAGATGTGGTTTTTGTCTGGTTATCATTTAATGCATACTTGTGTAAGGGGATACTGACCCGTTGGTGTTGGTGCTTATGACACCACCTTCCACAAGCAGACCCATGAAAACAGGATCTCCTGTTTCTGTACAATCGTATGGATTTATCATCCCTTTCCACAACATGCCTGTGGTTTCTGTGTTATGCTCCAAGTTCTTTTGCCATGTTTCACTGTCTGCATTTTCACTGACCCCGTTCGTGGACAGTATAAAATTACTTTCTTTTATATTGGGTAGAATTCAAGATGCAAATTGAAGCTTCTGCAATGGTTTCTTGAAGGACCTTTTGAATTTTGTTTCAGTGACTTGCAGGGAATCCGAACGTATGCAAAAAAAGATGGAGATGACTGGATTCTTAATGGAAGCAAGGTAAGTGAACAGACATACTCACCTTGTAGGCTTCAGGAAGTGAATGCATTTAAGAGAGTGAAGGATGTTCGCCAGTATTATTATCTCCCCCCCCAGTCCTTTCATTTTTGGCGATTTTGTGGGTTATGCTGTGATGGTGGGTTTTTTGTTCCCCAGTTATTTTTTCCTAGGACTTGAGATGTTGCTGGCAATTTACAGAACAAGTTATGGAAGGGCTTGAGTAAGTTATTGTTGTAGCTTTTAAATAACCTTATCAAAAGGCTCATTTTCTCTTAAACTAGGAAGAAAAGGGGCAAGGGGAGAAAATAAGTTCTGCATACAAATAAGCAGCACCAGAGATGGTTTTTAGTACTGAGGTTGAACAAAACAGATATGCTATAACTGTGAAATCTGTGGCCCAGGTGAAAACTTTGCATTGCCATAATGCAGGCTGTGGAATCTTTATTCAGGAACCCGTTGATTATGTTAGGAGAAAGAACCCAACTGGATCAGTGTGTGTTGTCAAGCTGTTGCAAAGCTGGCAGCATTAACCTCTACTTCACTACCAGGAGTGGGTAGTGCAAATGGAAGTGTGGGTTCAACAGGGTTTGTTTTAAAGCTATGAAATGCCTTAATCTTCTTTTTCCCTGCTTTCTTTTGTACTCCTGCTGATAACATGGTACTGATAGAGACTTCTCTCCTTAGCAGAATTTCCAGTGGTGAGAATGTGTGCAAGAAAATATGTATGTATAGGTGTTCAAAGGATATTCGCTCATGCTGCACAGTTGAGGCCAAGCGAGACAGCTCATTTTTTAGCTGGAGTTAAGATGGATCACTTTGGCAGGTTCATGAGTTAATCTGCAGGATTCTAATAAGCAGTTGCAACAAGGACCCATTGATAGTTCTAGATGTTATACCTTGCTAATTTAATTTTCTAGGAAAGAGATCCTCTGTGTTCATTTAATCTCTACATTCAATGCCATACTCCTTTATCGTGGGGCAGGCAAAAGAAATAGATATTTGCATTTAAATTCATACTTCTGGCCCATGTAACAGTTCTCAAACTAATTCCTAGTTTCATAGACCTGGTTTCAAAACACTTAATTCTGGAAGCTTTAAAGTCTTTTGGACACTTACAGCTCACCCTTGAAACATCCAATGCCATTTTTCTAGCATGTTGCTTTATTCCAAGTTGCATTTTTTACAGGTATTTATCACTAATGGTTGGATGAGTGATGTAGTGATCGTGGTTGCAGTTACCAACCGGGAGGCCCGATCTCCTGCTCATGGGATCAGCCTTTTTCTGGTGGAAAATGGAACAAAAGGTTTCATCAAGGGACGCAAGCTGAATAAAATTGGCTTGAAAGCTCAGGTGAGTTCCTACTGTGTGTAACAGGTAGCTTGGAGGAAGTCTAAAATCACTTCATGCCTGGCATCAGCTAAATAAATATAAAAACTGTGATGCTGTTCAAGTTCTTAGGCTTTGGAGCACAAGTGATGTACATGCAAGGTATGATGCTGAGTTTGGCTGCGTAAGTCCGAAACATTCAGTAAGGAGAGACTTGAGGAACCTGGATTTATTCATTCTGAAGAATCCTGGAAGTATTTCTCTTATTGGAGTCCTCAGCTTACCTGGCAGTCGGCTGTAGAGGTGGTAGCACCTGATTCTTCTCAGAGGAACATACTGAAAGTGGCAAGGGACGCAAGTTATGTTAAGGAAAATTCTAAGTAGGTATTAAGGAAAAAGATCACCATAAAAGTGATCATATAGTGGAACAGGGAGCCAGGGAGGTTGTGGAGCCTTCATCTTAGGAGCTTTGGAAAGAAGTGGACGAGGCCTTCAGCTGCTTGCTTTGCTGGAGCTGCTGTTGGAAGGAGAGAAACAAGGTGACTTTTAGAGGACTGTTCCAACCTAAATGGTTCTATGATTTCAACTTAAAGTGTACAATAGCAAGAAAAAAAATGAGGCAAAGGAAGTGGAATGAAGAGATGAGGATGTTGGGCTCTGAATAGTTGTGTTTAAAATCCTCTTAGGACACAGCAGAGCTGTTTTTTGAAGATGTGCGGTTGCCAGCCAGTGCCTTGCTTGGAAAAGAGAACAAAGGCTTCTATTATCTGATGGCAGAACTCCCTCAGGTAAGAGGAACTGTGTGTTTGCTGTCTATAGGAAGAATACAGGATGATTTTTGTCATCATTAAAATTTGCCTCAGTCTTGATGATAGTGTGTCGTGGGGAGCCACCTTGGGCTTAGAATCAGGATGTCTGTAGACAAGACTATGTCGATAACTGCCGCTTAACTGGAGTACACAGTTCCTAGTGCTAATGGTGCAATTCTTTGGGCATTGATCAAAAAGTTGATATCCCACCTTTCTCTTAATCAATGCCCCAGCTATTGAAGAAGCTGAAGGTAGTGTATTTAAAAGAATGTACCACAGTTTTTCTGTATAATTCTATCATGAAACCACTTTGCTTAGGAAATTAAATACAGCTTGGAGGTGTCAGATGCTTTTGGCATTCTCTTTAAAGAAACAAGCAAACACTGCTATTTTAGCTCTTACACCAGCATATTAAAGATACAAGGAACTCTTTTCTTTGTCCCTGTAGCAAAGTAAAGAAGTTGCCAAAATACCTTGCTAGTGGAAATAACGTTTTACGACTTAGTTTGTGGAGTTTTGTAATTATTTGAGAGGATAAAGAAGCAATGCGGTCTTTCAACGTATGACTGCTTTGTCAAATCTATGACTTTGTACTTGCCTTATTTGGTAGGGAACGTGTTTATTTAATTTTATCCTGTGAGCAAGTACAAAACCTGATCAAAGGAAATGTTTTACTGCTTTAAAGAAATAGATGCATTCATGAACGGGTTCAGTGTGATGCATCAGATGATTTCAGTGGTGCTAGAAGCAATTGTTTTGTACTTAGTTCCTGTTTTTCAACATGTTATGAGGAAGGAAAAAAACAGCCAGGGTTTTAGTTGTTTTCTGGTAGGTTTTGGTTCGGTTTATATTTGAGTTGTCCTATTGAAATGGTTAAATACTGTTGTTCTTTAACCTCAGCAGTGAAAACCAAAGATTGAACCAGAATTTGGTGTGAATTTTTCAGTCAGCACGAGACCTGTGGTTGATTTGTAGCTATTTTCTGAGTCATTGTTGTGGTAGAGTACTACGCTGGAAAAGACTTAACAGAGCTTCAGGCAGGAGGCATTTGTCCCACTCATTAATTTCAGTAATGCAATGTGTCTGATTTGATACTTCATGTGACTTCTGCCCCCCTCCCATAATGGACAACACTGAACATCTGTGCCCCAGTTGTGCATCTGATACAGAGAAATGTAGGTCTCTTTCAGCTGGATTCTGTAATTTGTGTTTCAAAAGGAAAGACTGCTAATTGCTGACATGGCTCTTGCCAGCTGTGAATTCATGTTTGAAGAAACAAGGAATTACGTGAAGCAAAGAAAAGCTTTTGGGAAGACAGTTGCACACTTGCAGGTAAGTTTGAACTGAGAGACTTGTGTACAGATTCCAGTGTGCTTTTGCTTTGTATGTGAAATAGGGAGCAAAGGAAAATCACTGGGCTGTTTTCAAAGGACTGTTTGCACAGTTCCACTGTTGGACCACAGCTGTTGTTTGCTTCCATGCCCAACACCACAAAAGCCTTAATGTACGTGTTCAGTTAGATACCTCCCAGCAGTGCTGCTTTTGGAAGTGAAACGTGCAAGCTGAAACAGGCTTTTTGCTGCTGGTGAGACAAAATCACCTTGTTGCTCTTAGGCTTGCGTTTTACTGTCGGAGGTCTTAACCACAGGATCTGTTACACCTGTGTATGTGTCTGTATCTGCCTGGAGTTCTACAGACTGCAGAAGAGCTTGGTGCATGTGCAGGTGCTGCGTTCCTGTGCACACAGTGCATTGCAGAATAATGAACTTCAAGGCTGATGCTGGGGGCTGCTCCTAGGCAGTGACCTTGCTGCCGGCATACAAAGGTGTTTGTATTCAGCTGTATGGGTATTTTAATGAGATTCCTCAGCTACCAGCTAGCTGGGTATTCAAGTGACTGCATATAAAAGTGTTGGATCATTCTCTGATCATACCTCACTCCTGAGCATACCTCACTCCTGACAGTGGTAGTTAATTGTGATTTGAGACACTTCTGCCTACGCTCTTTAGCTGCAGTCATAAAACAGATGTTGCTTTCCACAGTACTGTGATGTTCGAAGTTTCCTGAAAACCACATTAGCTGTTACGGCTGGAGCATACCAAGCTCTTGCACGTTTGGTTTATAGGACAGAAGTGATTCATATGGGTTGGAGGATGTTGTTGAGACTTCCTTTGTCAAAATCAAACCTTTAGCTGTGAATAGCATCAGGATCAGGCCCTTTAGAGGCTGGACGGCTTGATGTCTTTCAGAAAATTATGATTTTCAACTGTCTTTAAAGCTAACATTCAGAAATGTAGTATGTGCAGTGTGCAGCTTTAATACAAAAGAAATATATTTTACCTTTTTTGTAATGTGGGTAAAGGATGCTTCCTAATTCTGATAGTTCACTGTGCAGAGACCTCCAAAATAATCCCTTTTTAGGATAGCCCACTACCAACCACCAGGTGGCAAATAAACTTAATGAAGTATATTATTTTTGCTGAAGTAATCCATTCTTGCATATCTCTTCAGTTTCCTTTTTGTTGCTGACAGCTAGAATATACATATAATGAAAAATCCTTTCTAATTAGAACTCTGCCTTGTCTAATTCGATTAGTCATGCCACAGTAGTGTGTTTGAAATCAAATCTTTGTACTAGTAGACTGGTCCATTATATTTCTTGTCAAGGGAATCAAGAAGATATTTTATATATGCATACACACACACAGAGTTTCAGAACTGTGAGATTAGAAAACCTATTGTTATTGAGTGCTGGTTTTATCCCCTTCCTACCAGAATGATACAAAGATGGGTGGATGCTTGCGTGGCCTGGCTTTACATAACCTTAGCAATGGATTTAAGTTTTTTTTACCTATTCTACTTAGAAACTCTTCCAATGTGACAGAACTCAGTGTTGAAGAACTTCCTGATCGTTAGTCTAAAAATTCCTTTGTTTTTGCTTGTGTCCCTTTGCATAGGACTTAAATTCTCAAGAACTGAATGCATAAAAAGCTTTCAATAGATGATGAAATGATATTAATTGGGGAAGTCGGTGGCTCTATGAAGTGAAGGGACATTCCCCCATAAGAGGGAGCAGAGAGGGACAGAGCACCCAGTGAGTCCTACTCTGTGCTCTCTAGGAATTTGTGTCCAGGTTGTTGGGGTTCAGATTCTTGTAAAGTCATGTTTTGAGTTGGTGTTGAGAAGTAAAGGGTTGTAATTTTCTCTGATAAGATTGGTAAAGCCATAATTGTATGGAAAGTAAGCTGTCTTCTGGTGCACAGAGCCAAAGTGGTTTGAAATCATGATTTCTAACATAAACCCTTTTAGAAAATGCTCAATTTTCTACTTCAGGGATCATTTACAACTGTCTTACTTCTGCTCTTTCTTTGTCCATTTCCAACATCAGACGGTGCAGCACAAGTTGGCAGAAATGAAAACACAGGTCTGTGTGGGCCGAGCTTTTCTGGACAGCTGTTTGCAGCTGCATGCAGAGAAACGTCTGGACTCTCCCACAGCTTCCATGGCAAAGTATTGGTATGTGGTTACGTGTATGATCTTGATAGGAGATCATACATAAAAACACTGAACTGTTCAGATCTACTGAAAAGATAACATTGCTGGCTGATTAATAATAACGTAGTCAGCTTCTAGTACAGACCACTAGCTTTAGATTTAATGGTGTAGCCATCAAAAAACTTTATTACCTTGAAAATCAGTGTTGCTTAAACAGATCAATTTCCAAACAATAGTGTGCTTTTAAAACAGGCTTCCATTAACAACCAGATCAGGACTCAGCTTTAGCTTAAAGTAGAAGTGAGTATTTTGTTGTTATTCAGACAAACATTTATATTTTGCTGTAGCAAGTTGTTGAGTTTGTGGGGTTTTTTTTGGGGGGGGGGTGTTTTTCTTTTCTAAATGGGGGGTGTTTGTTTTTGTTTCTGTTTTTTTTTTTGAAGCACAGGTTTATTTGAAGCTCACATGATTATTAATCATTAATGAATTAATTTTACTTAGCAGTAGCCCTTTCACCCACCTGGTTTCTGAAGCTGTCTGGTTTAGGAAAGAAATAGTTGGCTACAGTCACTGCTGTAACTGAGACTAAACAGTGCTTTCCTTTATTGGCCAGAACTCCTCCTTCCTCTCCCCGTACTTGGTGGTGTTAATCTGTTAACTTACATTTAACCAGAGAAAGCTGGATGAGTAGAAACAGCTAACGTAGTGGCACGTAAATTTGTATAGTTTTCTTTCTGCTTGCAAAGACGGGAGGAAAAAAAAGCACACCAGACATGAACAAATAATTTTGTGGAAGATGCACTGGTGTACAGCTCCTAGAAATGAGCAGAGAATACTGAGGAAATCCAGAGAGAATACTTACAGTGAAAGGAAGGGTTTTGATTTAGTGCTGTTGTTGGCAGTGATTACCTAGAAGTACCAGGTACGTAAGCAGAGGCATTCAGTTTTGAGGAGGAGGAAGCAACTAGTGCCAGCTCAGATGTGTAGACTTACTTCCTCAACAAATTTCCCAGAGTGAGCCATCTGAAACTCCCCTACATTCACAACTGTTTAGTGGCACAATTTGTTATGGATTCCCCCTTTCTCTAATGGAGTCTAGAAAATGCCAAAATGTAGAATTGTTTTATTCCCTATTAGTTCAGGAGACTGTCTCCAGTTTTGCTTCAAACCTTTTGTATAGTCCTCTACTTGAGTTAGAGCTTTGAAGGATTTTAAAGCACAGTTTGTGCATTTCATTTCCAATATGTGATGAATGGTCTGAAGGTTTTATTTTGTGGGGACAGTTTGTATTGTGTACCTAAATTAATTTGAACATATATTTAGGAAAGAGTTGCAGTTACTCACTGCTGCAGACTAAAAGTTCACATAATAAACGGTAAGGATTTAACTGGGTGAGGGAATGGTTTGGAGAATAGGAGAGGAGTAGTTTGAAGAAGAAGACTCTTATATTCTTCATTGAGAAGAAATTGACTTGAATTGTTATTTTTTTCTGTTCCTTCTCTGAAAGTTACATGCTTAGAAAGTGTGTGTGGGAGGGTTGGTGTCATTCAACTTTAGCTTGACCTACCAGTGCAGTTCAAATCTTTATTTTGAAATTCAATCTGAATTTTGCAGCAAGAAATCCTGTTTAAGAATTACAGTATTTTGTAGAATTGAAAACTATAACATCTGTTGGGGAAAATAAGTTATGCTCAGGTGATGGATATACTCAAGAGCATCGTGGTGTATTGCTAGAGGGGAGTGTAGGGGGCAGACTGTGATTGCTGTTAGTTTTTGACAAAGCTGAGGGATTTGGTAAGAAAAGAGACTGTATCAACCTGCTTTACAAAAGAAATCTCTGTAGCTATGAGAAAGGTAAGCAAGCTTGTCTGTATATAGAATAAAAAGTTTGGTTCTATTTTTGACATGCTCAATTATCTATGTATCTCGTGATGTTTCATAGCATAACATTCTTCTAAAAACCAATTATTTTTTTTTTTACTATTTAAGGGCTTCTGATATCCAAAACAACATAGCTACTCAGTGCGTGCAACTGCATGGAGGATGGGGGTACATGTGGGAGTATCCAATTGCAAAGTAAGCATAGCATTTCAGACTTGAATGATGAAAGATTACCAGCAAACTAAAATGAGGCACCCCCTTTACATCTACATGTCAGTTGTTTGATGTTTAGAATTGATTTACTGCCCCTTTTCTCATCATGTTTATTGAAAGGCAGTCTACTGTATGGATGTTTGCAGGAAGGCTTTGTTTTGATTCTCCAAATAATTCATAAGTTGATGAGCAATTATCTATATTATTATCTGTTTTCCACAAAATAGAAGTTGCTTTTCTAGAAGAAAATGTTAACTGTAAAAAAAGGGAAGCAATGTAAAACAAAAAATGAGGAGAGGTAGTTAGCATGTTTTATCTGAAATAAAATGCATGTGTATGAAGGAAGGAAAACCCCTTGGTCACTCTAAATCTTGTGTAATACTTTAGCATAACAAATTGCCTAAACAAGAGTATGATTGACTACGTTCAGATTTTTACATCCTTTTAAGTGAAAAAGCTCAGATCTATGTGTACGAGGATTTAGCTATTCCAAAGTTTTGGCTTACTTTATTAATTAGGGATATTTTGGAGTTCTTATATATTTCCTTGTGTATTATCTGTGAAGATGTGTTTCCTTTTGTGTACATGCCATTTGCCACTCTTAAGTAGAGTCTTCTGGAGCTGTTTTTAATAAAACAGAAAGAGGATGTGATCTGATAGGAGGAATAGGAAAACCAGGAGTGCTGTGCAGTTGTCATAAGTAACAAACTAAATTAGTTTGGCTGAGTAGGCTTGACTTTTTTTTTAAATCATTATTATTCTAAATACATTGAGTGTGAAATGTTGCTTTAAAATAACTTTTCTGCAAGTTTTTAATGAGTATAATTTGTGAGTGTCCTGCAGCCTTTCTAAGTTGTAAGGCCAGCAAGTTCTGTTTAGGATATCCTCGAACCGCTGCTTATCTGTGTGTGCAGTAGTTGTCCATACAGGGTTTTATTATCCCTGTGGTTCAGCAACATGCCTGTTTCCAGAGAATGCCGTGTTGCTCCTGGGCTGCTCTTTGAATAATGAAGCAGAATTAAGATGGAAAAGCAAGCTCTCATTGTCCTGTGGGCTCTCGCCAGCTGTGCATGTACTGGGGACGGTTCCAGCACAAGGATGGAAATGGTTTGGCTGCATGCAGCTTTTCGGCTTGCTGGCCCAAATAGAGCTGGTGTCAGTAGAAGGCTGTAGCCAGCTGATGTGAAAACCATTGAGCTTTCTTCTCCTCCCAGGGTGTTTGAGGCCCACCTCAAAGAAAGAACTGACAGCACCATTAGCAGTCCTCTTGACAGGATCAGACAGGCCAGGGCATTAGAGCAATCTACCACGATAACTATCAGTTTGGCTCTGCAGGAGTTGTTTTTAACAACAAGGAAGCACCTGGGTGTAGCAGTTCATGCAGGCCTGCTGTTCTGCAGGATGAGTGTGGTGGGGGAATAGGAGCTTTGGTGTCTGGAGCTGGGTTAATGCTCGGATGCTGAGAGGAAAGGAGGGAATAAGAGTTGGGAGGGGAAGGAGTAGTAAATCTTGTTTTATAGAGTTTTATTTAATTAATTTAATTTATTTAATTAATGTAATTATTTAATTGAGGGGATAGTGGTATCTTTTTATTCTGATTGTGTGTCTATTCTGAAGAGTTGTTTTTAATCTTTTTTTTGTTGTTTTTTTTCCCTTCAGAGCTTTTGTGGACTCCCGTGTTCAGCCAATCTATGGTGGCACCAACGAAATAATGAAAGAACTTATTGCTAGAGACATTGTCAGTGACAAGTAGGGCAGGTGCTTACTAGTTTGAAGAGTCTTCCCAGAATCCTATATATTAGTACATGGTATAAAATCAGACATCAGAATGTAAGTAAAATAAATGTGATATATTGTATTCCTTCAAGGAAGTGATACTATTAAAAAATAGTAACAACAGTGTGCTCTATGAAAATATCTAATATTAGATGACCTTTTAATTTAAGTATCTCGGGACAACACAGAGTAATCCTCTGGGTTCCAACAGTTCTGGTAGTGAAATGCAGTTTTGTGTCTGGGACATTATGGGTAGTATTTCAGACTTGATGCCATTATATTGAATCCAGCCCTCACTTTTCAGAATTACAGCTCCAGAGAAGCCATGTTCTTCACAAACGAACAGAATTTATGTTAGCATTTATCACTGAATTTGTGTTCCCCTTTGACAACCTGGAGTTGAAACTTAACTACTGTCGCTGTACAGTTTGGGGAGGGACTATACAGCTGACCTCGATGTTTACATGTAACCCAAGCTGCCTTATTTTAATTACTTTGTTCAAATAAATATAATAAAGCGTTTCTATGCAATCTTACAGTTGTCTGTATTACCTTAAAGCCTGAGGGAGAATCCCTTCCTCTGTGCCCTTATTCGTCTCAGGGCGAGGAGGAGGAGTTTTGAGGAAGGGGACTGTGCGGCTCGTGAATGTTATCGAACATTTCCAAGTCATACGCGTTAAAAAAAGCTGGAAAACGTGTTTATCTATTTACGCGCTCGGGGTTGTACCTGACCTCTCCGCAGCACGGCTCGGCGCTCTAGCCGTCGTCCTCCCCTCAGCGCCCCGCCTCAGGACACCCACCAATGGCGGGCGCCCGCCCTGGCGCAGAGCTCCGACCCCGGGGGCTGCTGATTTGCCGTGCTCCTCCCCTTGCGAGGGGAGGCCCTGCCCCTCTCGCCTGGCTGCGCTTTAGCTGGGCGCGGACTCTTCAACAGCGGCAGTGGGAGCCGCGCCGGGAGGAGTGCGGCCCGTGGCGAGTGGCGCGCTTGGAGCGAGCCGGCGGGCGGAGGCAAGCGCGGGGCTTCGCTGGGCGGGTGTGGGGCGCGGGCGGCGAGGCCGTCGATGCGCGCTAACGGCAAGCACCGCGCTGAGGCGCGGGGCGGCGGCGGGGGTGGGGGGGGGGGCTGTTGGGGAGGAGAACCCGGGCGGCGGGCGGTTCCCGCGGCGGGAGCGGCCGTGGCGCCGCCGAGTGCTGTGCGCGTGCGCGAGGAGGAGCCTAGAGTGGGGGCGGGGTGAGGGGGGGTGGGCTAACGGCCTGGGCGCGGGGCGGGGCCGCGAGCGCTGAGGCGTGGGCGGGGCCGCGCCTCACCTCATCGCACCGCCCCGCCAGCTCCTCCCGTGTGGCTCGTGCCGTCCTCCCCTCCCCGCTCCACAGCGGGCCCCGCCCGTCCGGCCCCGTCGTGGTGCTGCCGGGCAGGCCTCGCCCGCCTCGGCCGTGCGGGGTGCTCGGGGTCCGCAGCGCCCCGCAGCGCGGCCCGAAGGTACACGCTGTTGTGCTGCCTTGACCTTTTTTCATCGTTATTTTTAATATTTGGGCCAGCACATGGGTGGAAAGCTTCACCCTGCGTTTTCATGTGTGATTTTTATGTGTTAAATTCCCGCGTTGAAACTTCCCTGTGGTAAACAGATTACCACAGATTCCTTTGCCTCCTGGTGACCCTGACCCAGTTGGCTTCCCAGCCCCCATATCATTACTCATAAAACTGAGTAGATAAAGTAGATAGCAAAGCTCTGGACAGCAGCCGAGCTCCAGGTGCGTTCCCTCAGCTTCGTGTGCTCTTGAGCAAGGGTTTAATCCACTTTGTGCATCAGCTCCCTGCTTGTAAACCACTGAGGTGCTTGATACCCCTTAGCGGTGGGAAGCAAAGTAAGCAGTATAAGCAGTATACAAGAAAAGAAATCCAAGTCGATTTTTCCAAGTGATATTTCTTTTGTGTGCTTAATAAAAAGGAAATACTAAAAATCAAACTGGGCAGAGCATGGTTATAATTTTAATAGATGTACCAACTCAGAAAGCTACTTTGTGTGCCTTAGGACTCTTCTTCCTTATTGGATCGCATTGTGAAATCCTGTCAATATTTTGGGGAGTCTAAATTCCAGTCAGCTGGATCGGTGCCTTAGAGCTGAATGGGTGTTGTTTAAAACCAGATTTCATGGCCCACTCTTCAAAGAGTGAAATTTGTAAGGATAACAAATGTCGATAGGGAAATGGCTCTGAAAGCATTATGTGTGTTTATATTAGAGACATGTACAACCTACAGAGAGGCATCTGTCATGTACTACAGAAAGTGTTTAAGTTTAGCATATGTTAAAACCAACTTCAGATGTTACATTACAAATACATGGCATTATAGACAGAACAGGAATTAGTTAATGGCATAGTAAATAAACTTGGGAATAACATACAACTCTCTGTTCAGAAGCAGTTGTTAACAAAGAAAAACAACCCTGTTCAGAGATTTTAATGAGCCATGTATTTTATCATAAATGAATACTAATGAGTTCCACTTGAAGTGTGTCCTTTTTTATGAGTAAAAGTGTTTGGGTGGTCTGTCTAAAATTGAGTTCTCTTTTCAAAGAGAGATCCTTTTAGGATGTGTGTGTCTTACTGTTAGTTTGGGGTTTTTTCCTCAAGGAGGTGGAATTTGTGCTTGTATCTTCTGGGTAGTGTGGAACACTGGAGCTTGCAGCTTTATCTGTATAGTACTGTCTGCACAGTGAGTGCTGCTGAAAGCTGAGACTCCCCACGTAATCCTGTTTGGGTTGCTGGGTTTTTTCCCAATCTATTAATAGAACAAAACACTAAAATGTTTAAACACACATCAGGAGTAACTGGGCTGTTTTGAACTGAAAACAAAAGCTCTGCCTACTGAGATGATTTTCCTTTCTCTTAAAGGCTAGTCCCTGGTGTGTTAAATATGGGCCTCTTTCCTTTTTCTTTCATACTCCTAATCAGGACATACCCACTGGGGCCAACATCTCTTTTTGCCTTCATTGCTGCAGACTATTCTATGAGAAAGTGCAGCTGATGCTGTTGAACTGTTCTCTCTATTCTTAGAAGTTAATATGGTCCTGTGAGTTTTGCGCAAATCGGGAGAGGTAGGTCAAGTACTACCCAAGTGGATGCCACCCTCCCACCAGGCACAGCTTAGAGCTGGCCAAAGCCAGCTCCAGCTCTGGGTCCTGGCAGGCAGTGAGGGCAGTGCTGCAGTAGTGCTTGGCTGCCAGAACACCGCTTTATTTTTGTCTAACCAGTATCAGGGAGGCTGTCCAAGAGTTGCTAGGGATTGGGGGCAAACAACACAAAGCTGTAGGAAGCCAGGTTTTGTCAGTTGTGGTGTAGACAGAGCAAGCTTGCTCATGTAGCTCTTCTGCAGGAAGGCAGCTCTTGTCAGTTTGAAATACAGTATTTTTGAACGTTCTTGCTGAGCTTAATTTGAGGTGTGTCACCAGATGCTGTTTGCTGCCAAGGACTTCACTTTGCTTTTGAAATGCCTTCTAGGCAAGAAATAAACATTGGAAGTTTGCTTATCTAAAACACTGTTCATCTATGAATAAACTGGAAACAGTTGTGTTAATTTTAAGCCTTATTTGTAGGCCCTTGAATTTGAAAGCAAAATATATATATATATACACACACACTATTTATTTTTTTTAATATATATATATATATAATGTAAAAGTCTTCTCCTGGCCTCCAGGAATTTCATTGTTAACAATAAAGTTTCAGGTGTTTGGGATGACAAAAGATGACTCCATTCAGGAGAGAAGGTTTGTAGGGAGGTGCCTTACAAACCCTCATGCAAATGGAGTGTTATTTTCACTGAAAACTAGAAGATCACAATCAAAAACCCCGCTGAATGACACAGCAATCATCCCACATTAAAAGTCCCCCAGAACATTGTCTTCAGCATTGTGTAACTAAAGGGAAAGTGTTATGCAAGGGGGGGAAGAGCCAGAAAGTGAAGCGACTATAAACAAAAGCTGGGAAGGGAATGCCACCCTGTGTGCAAACAGGTTTGTGGTTGGGATTTGGTGTGTTTATTTGAATAGAGTGCTGCGCATTACCAACATGAAGACACTAGTTTCAGGATTTAGACAAATTCTGTTGGAGTAAGCCTGGGAGAGAAGGGTATAACATGGAAATGTCGAGTGAGGACTAAGAAATAAGCAGAAGTAGCAGGGGAGAGAGGATAGGGAAGGGAGCAGAGGTCATTGGGGAATTAAGGATCGATAGCTGTTGGGAGAGAAGGGAGCAGGGAGTTCTTGGCTGTGGTAAACTGCAATTCCTAGCTATATCCTGCCAGGTAATTAGGGCATTAGGGGAGGATAAGCATAAAGTCACTTTAAACATCAGTTGCTGTACTGTGCGTGTCTGGTACTTGTTTCTTCCCTCCCCCGGTACTTACTTTACGTCAGCTTTTCCTTTTACAGTTCTTTCTTGTCTTTCAAGTAGAGTGCTTATTCAGCAGATAAAAAGCAAACTGGTTGCCAGTTTAGTAGCATTTCAGCTGGTCTGGTTTTGAAACCGCAGGTAGTACACAATGGAAAAAATCCTTGAAATGGTTTACCTAGAACAAAAAAGCTTTTTCCAGAATGAAAATACAGCCTCTTCCTGAATACCGTGCTGCAGTACTTGTTTTCCCTCCCTCTGCACTTTCTGGGGTGTTTTTTTTATCCCTAGAAGGTAACAGGTTTGGCTCTGGAAACTCACTTCCAATAAGGTGAAGTGAAATTATTTTTGCTGCTTTCTGCCAAAATGAAATAAAACGTGTCGAAATGAAAACTGCACCATTCTCACTGAGCCAAGGATTTGTACTAAAATTTGGGTTTAATTTTTGATTTTTATGTTTTTGCAGCTGATACTCTGTTGTACTCATTTACCAGTGACTATTTGTGTCTGTGTTTATAAACTTCTTGGAGAAATGCCAAGGACTGGAGGCTGGAACAGTACCAGCTTTTGTAAAGTCTTTTTGATGGCACTGAAATGAGAGGTACACACCTGAAGTGTCTCACACTACTGTCTTCAGGGCAGAAACATCGTGTGAAGTTTGCACCTTGCTGGGTAAGGGGCTAATTGAGTGATTTCTCTCTTCAAAAGCATTTGGTTTAGATATATTGTAATTTCAACATCATCCGTCAGGAACACGTAATTAGTGTTTTGTTGGTGCTCTTCAGTTTCTGGTTCCATTTGAAGGTACTTGCAGGTAAGAGGGGAAGAAATCTAAAAGAGGGGAAAAACTGTTCCCTAAACTGAAAAAAAAAAGAAAAAAAGGTATGCATTGCAATTGAGGACATTTGAGGCTGTACCAGAAGGGTTTGTAGCATTGGAGGGTGTATAATCAAGTTAAGACACTAGAAGTTTTTTGGTGCCAGTTTTTGAATAGCCTTCATATTCACATAGGTATGAAATATACACCTGCAAACTCCTTCTTTGCTTGAGCAGCAGCTCTGCTGCGTGTGGATGTTTCCTGGCCTTCAAGAGTAGCATCCTCTGACTGTTAACCACTTGGGCTGAGGGAGGTAGATGGTGAAGTTGGACATGTCCTAAACTTATTGCTCAATGTGTCGGGCTGACAGTGTTCTTCTGAGACAGCATCTTGGAATTCCCAGGGACAGATCTAATATGGGGCTCCCCTGAGTTCAGTAACCCCACAGAGGAAGCATGGGCTTCAGTTCTCTCCCCCTTATGGTTTAGCCATCCTAAATCACTTTGACTTATAGTTGCCATATGCTGAGATGGGGGGAGGCATAGGTGTCTGAATCCATACTCCTTCAGATTTAAAAAAACCTGTGGCTGCTGAGAGCACTGCCAAGTCATCAGAAGCTTTGCAACTGGGGCTACAGCTCTCATCAGTGCATTTCCCTGTCTTATCCTAGTAACAGGGCTCTTACTGAATCGCTGTCTGCTGGGAAGGACTTTATTCTGAACTCCTCTATAGTCTGAAGTTACTGCCTTGTTGATAAAGGTTAAAATCCTGGGGATTTTAATAGTGTAGTTTAGGACTAGTATTAGGACCACCAAACCTGGTCATTGTGATGCTGAGTAGGTAATATACAGCATGAAAATCTCATGGTTGAAGTATAATGCAGTAATGAAAGGTGAATAAATCATACAGAGAGTGTTAAGGCAGTACTGGAGCATGTGGTACTCTTATTTTTCTTTATAATTTGAGGGTTAAGGAGAAAGCATCCAGACTGGTATTTCTCAGCTCCTTAGTGTTCCAGATCTCCCTCTAATGTTTGCACCTTCAGTGTAAAACCTGTAGTAATAAACAAGCTAAGGCTTTGGACAGGGAGTGTGTTTTTCTTAGGATCCATACATGGCAGTCTTAGAATTGTTGAGCTGGGCAACTGCTGTGGAGATCAAAGAAACTGAAGACACTGAAAGGAGGGCAATGGAAATGCTGTTTGTTGTGGTTTAAGCTCAGTTTTAAATCATGTAGTCGCTCTCTCACTCCCCCCCTTTAACTAGTAACCAATTAGTACACTGGTTAAACAGAGCATTTACTGTGGAATTACTATGCTACACTCACTCTTGTTTACTACTCTCTTACTGTTTTTGTCTTTGTCTCTAGCTTCTTAAGGAAGATCTGACAGTATCTTACCTTTCAGGCTTCTGCAGGCCATGTTCAGTTAAATCTTTCATTGGGTTTATTTAACTGTCTCCTACACAATGCTGAAAGTACATTGTAAGGCAGTGATTCCTGCTGTGTAGGCTGTGAAATATAGTATGATATGACAGCATAGCTGCTGACAAGAGGTGGAGGGTAACACTGGTGGTTTGATCCCAAAGTTAGGGAACCCTTTGCTTAAGCTATGGCTATCCACAGGCTAAAGGGTTTGTAAAGTAAAACTGTTGGTCTTTACTCAAATAGTAAAGAAAATAATTAAAGAATATTGTGTGTCTAGTATGTAGGCAGTGCCTGAAGAAGAAAGAACTGGGTACAAAGGCACGGGAAGATTTTTTAGGAAACATTTAGAACTTACAGTTCTTTGTTTTTAAAGCATTAGCCTTGATGATTGGTTTCTAAAGCGTTATTTTTGAGAATATAGAATACATTAATTTATCAAATGCTTGCTTTATATAGATTTACATTAAATATGTTTCTCTCAGTATTGCCTCTATTTCAGTGTTTCATTATGTGGTAGGTGTTCTGCTGTGCTGAACTTGTCCTATGTAGCTGCCTAGCTGCCATTGCTGGGATACTGTTATTAACTCATTTAAGTATAAAAAATATACTCGAACAAAAAGCAAATGCAACTCAACAAGTAACTTCTCTCCAGAGCGGGTTACAATAAAATCCAGGCAGAGTTCTTGGGTGGGGATGTTCACCTCTGTGTGTGCCTATACATATACATACATTCACACACGTGTTTTAAAACACATCCTTCCAGTCACGTGGCTTATGGTCATGTTTTTCAGTTCGGGCAAGGTTAGATGGCAGTCTTGAACTTTGTGAGTCTTATTTCTCAGACTGACAGGATCAGAAATGCAATGAGGTATGAACACTTACTCCCATGAGAGATAAAGGCTTTCATTGCACATGGAACAACCTCTGAATGGAATAAAGACAAAACCCAAAAGAGTATTCTTGTTTGACTTGGTGGGGAGCATAGTCTATCTGTGTGCTTTAGATAATGTCCTTTTTTTAATGGAATCTTTGAATAATGTTGAAATGTTGAAAGAATGAACTGACAGTTGTTGTATTTGTACTGTGTCATGAAAATGAGAAAATTTACATGGCCCATGTTATTTTCAGGTTTGCTGTAAACTACCTACCGTAGCTATAATGACACCAGCCCTCAGAGAGGCAGCAACAAAAGGTCATGGTATCCACTTGTCACCTTCTTTGTCCTTTAGAGCTATGGAGTCTGATACAGCTTTGTGCATGGAAAATTCCAGAGCAGTGGAAGAGAAGATAAAAGAGGACTCCATCGCACAGATTACTTGCTCAGTCCTGGGGTTCCCCACTGCTGAGCCCAACCTCAGGAATGATATCCTCAGTGTGCAGCATTTTGGTTCTCCACCATCCTCCAAGCGCTATCAGTCTGTCTTGTTAATGAGTACAAATTCTGAGTATAACAACAAAACTGGGAAGCAGACGAAAGTGGGAGAACCGGGCTGCTTCAGCATGGGAAAGTCATTGCATAATGGTGCTGACACCTCAGCTGGGCAGATAATTCATTCAGAACCTGAGGAACAGGTCAAAGGGCAAATGTTTTCAGCGATCACATCTTCAAATCTGGCAGAAACACAGACACTTTCGGAGTCCAATGTAACTGAGTCCAATAATGCAGAAGAGATGCAGTTTTTAAATGGGAAATCGTACAAGAAGAATGGTTTTTTGGGTAGAGCTTTGGAAGTCTGCACTGAAACAATAAAGGGAGATTTATTACACCAAATTCTTCACGGGCCTTCAGAAGGGATTTTGAGCTGCACCCCAGAGGAGGTGTATGCTCGCTTACTCCAGTGTGTCACTAAGCAACAAATGGAAATCAGTCGTGCCAAAAGAACTCAGAAACGTTTACAAATGCTTCTAGCAAAGCATGTTATCAAACACTGCGAACAGCAGCTGAAATGCTTTGTGAAACATCACCTACAGAGGATGAAGATTTTCCATGAGCCAACCAGATTTTTGAGCAGTAGCTCCCTCAGGTGCACTGAAGGTTGGCCAGAAAACAACACAACTACTTTGGAGAGTAGTTCAAGTTCGGATCCACAGAATGGAGTTAACATTGCACCAGGTGAAATCCGGGGATTTGCACTTCACACTGGAGGGCTGCTATCTCGTGTGGAGAAGGATCTGGACTCCGATGCAACATGTAGCAGCTCAGATGAAGATGGTGAGGAACAGACTGTAAGAACAACTGTGGAAGCGTAAGTGTTAAATTCCTGCTAGACTCATGTCCTTCGTGCTTATAAATCAAGATGCAAGGGTCTATACCTGCAGGTTCCTTCTTGTGTAACCCCTCACTCAATAGATAGTCCTACTGAAATCAGCGGGACTGCCTGTGTGAGCCAGGTTTGTCAGGGGCCAGGCAGAGAGGAAGAACTCCTAATTACAGCATTTAAGGAATAGTTAACTTTACTAGACTATAGAGCTAGATTTTGTAGTGCACTCTTAACGAGTTTTGTATTACGTTAGTACTGCTAATGATTCAGTACTCGGATGGTGCTGTAAATTGAATAGTAATAGCAGTGCTGTAAAAGTGCTTTTTGGCCAGTATGAAAATAATTCTATTTTGGAGTTATTAAGAATTAGTCAGTGTTAGGATCTTGAAATCCACTGCTATGTGATAAAGAATAAAAATGGTCATCTGATGCAGTTGTCAAGCCATCCAGTGTTTTGGGTTGTATATTGAAAAAAAGTTTGCTGCTTTGAATTGTGATTTGTAAAATGTTAGTTTACTTCCTTAAGTTAGTTGTTCTGCTACTGGGAATGAAGGTAGGAGTGGTGTTTTTATTGTTGCTAGTGTCTTTTATCAAGAAGAACCAGAGGGAAATTGGTCTCATGAACTAATACTGTCTTGACTTCGCAGGGATCGTGTCAGTACATATTATTGTAGCTTTGGAAATCAGTAATGGGTAAGAGAATTAGATAGTAAAATTGTTCCCTTATGGTGGTACAGGCTCTTTTATTGTTCTTCTTTTTTTTTTTTTTTTTTTTTGTCCCCAACTATTGAAATTTCATGACCAAAGAGATTGAGTTAGAAAGCATTGAAAGGACAGCTGCTTTCCCCTTCTGAAGGGAGATGATGAGAACAGAGTATGTCTTGAGGTTTGTTAAGATGGTATAATCAGGACAGTGACACATGGAATAAAGCTTCATATAAACACAGCAGCTTACTAGGAGCTACATTGCTCCTGCATTTCTAGCACTTGAAGTCAGGATTGGTTATGTCTTTCCTGATCTCTTCTTAAACTGTTGTTAGTGAGTGTCTAGAAAGCATTAAGAGCCACACTGGTGTTTAATGAAAAATAAATACTGCAAAGCTTATCTTGGTCTGTTTCTTGGAAGGCATAATGTTCAGAAGAAATCAAGGAAGTTGGAAAAGAGCTGTGCCCTGTTATGTGTTCATAGATAGCTTCAGTGAGGGAAGCTTCAGTATAGCATGGTTGTATGAAAACATGCTGCATTTCCTTAAATGTATGCCTTGAAACCAGAGAGGAGAAACAGTATGAAGTAAAAGCTAGTTTTGATTTTTCTTTCACATATTTTCAGAATGGTAAATTACTGGAATGCAGCCAGAGCATGATGACTTGCCAGCTAAGTTGGGATCACCTTAGATACTTGAGTTTGTGCAAGTCGTATTCTCCTTTTGAAATATTTCAAAGAAAAACCAGCATTTTTGTCTCTTCCCAGCGTAGGAGAATCTGCATTCTTCTCGCTGATAATGTTTGAACTTCTGAGTAATCTCTGTTAAGAGTAGGATCTCTGGCTCTCGGATTCTTATCTTGTGATTACATGAACTGAAAAAGAAAAACTGATGAGAAACTCCTAATTCTTGAAGGGTAGTAGATAATGTAAAACTTGGACTGAAGTTCTGTATAAGAGGTTGTTGTGTTTTTCTCTTGCCAGGGGCAGTTGAGTTTCTAACTTTGCCCGCCAGTCCCTTACCTTTATTTCTTCTTGTGGCTTTTGAATTCCTTAAGTTGTCTTTTCCACTTTGAGCTTGTTCAGTTTGTTTTGTTCCACTGAGGAGAAAAATCCCCAGAGGATTATTAAGTACAAAGGCACCCCCTTTGGCTCAGGAAATCCCCAAGCTGCTGTTGCTGGCAGCTGAGGGAGTGTTCTGGAAAAGCCCTGCTCCCTCCATGCCTGCCCTGTTGTGGGACTTGGTATCTTGACCACTACTGCTAAGAGACCACAGACTGGGTAGCTCATCCCTAGTCTTATTCATTGTGAACCTTCATTTGTAGGTTGTGTTTTAGCTCCCTTGTTTATGCTCTTACTGCTGAACAGCTGTCAAGCAGCAGTGCTGGGGTTAGCAGTGTGCATTAGCGAAGACATTGCAGTGCAAGAATCACTGGGGTTTGAACTGTGCTGCAGGGCCAGCAAACTCAGTTTTTAAGTACAACCTATTTGAGGGAGAAGATCTGTGTGCATAGGCTGAGGCAGTGCTTGAATTAACATTGCAGTGAGGACATGCTCTTATTTGAATTTATCATTATCTTCAGCTTGGAATGGTTTTCTTCATTTCTCCAACTTCCCTAAGATCTGTCTTTGTGTCTGAATGGTTGCGCTTTTTCTTCTAGTGCCAAAGGTAGTTCACAGTGCAGCTGCTGTGATTTGCTGTTTCTGAGCTTTCCCACTTCGGGGGGAAAGGCTCTTCAGATTGCCTTTCACCTGGACAAAAGAAACAAACAAATTTAACATCAATTTTTATTTATACTAAGTGGATTTGCATTCTTTTAAATGCCTTTCTTCTCTCCAGGGAATTGACTCTTAGTGCTTTCCAGAAATAATGTGATCATGTGGATGAGAGAACACTCATTTCATTGTTTGTGACTTATTTTTCATAGTGAAGACTTTTAATGACCTGGAAAGACTCTTCCCTTGGTGAAATTCTTCATAGTACTTAACTGTAGATGTCAGAAGGTTCTATTAATGCAGTGAGGAATGGGAAAATGGTTTTGGGTTTGCCTATATCACAGTTTACTGTTTGCATTTAACTTGAGGGTATAATCACACTGGTGGCTGGTCACTGTTATGCCTGCATTGCTTTTTATCCTTTTTATGGGGGGAGGAGGTGTCAATCCAACGCAGGGAGGAACCTGCTGTTACTGTGTTTATCTGAGAACAGCCTGTTTCCTGTCAGGAGGAAGAAAACAATTCCAGCTCCAATTCTTCATGGTAGCAAAAAACCTGGAGCAATTTTTAGCAGCTCAAACCTGTTCATTCTCATTATCCTGAATTCTGCCCAATGAGTGTTGACGTAAGCTCTTCTGAGCGATATCTCAGTGCTTTGTGTCTCAAGTAAGATTGTCTTTATCCATCTATTTCAACACCTTTGTTGTTTAGTTGCAAGTAGCTGTTATAAGATATTTAGACTACTGCTCATCCCTTGTGCATTACATTGGTGTTGGCCTCAACACCAGAACAAAGAAAGATCCTAGGTCTTCCGGTGAAGGCAATTGTTCTAGCTGACAGTTCCATTATTGAACTTCCCTAGTTCCTAGAGCAACTGGAAAGCCTCATCCCATTTCAAGAGCTTAATCAAAACATATTTGGTCCTTTGAGTATTTGCGAAAAAGAAATACGAAAAACCAGCTGGCCTTTTTCAGGAATTTTGTCATTTTCTTCCAGCTTCAGCTCATTCATGTTTTTAACCTCTCAGTTTTCGTGGAAGGTTTCTTAGGTAAAGCACCGAGTTTCCATCAGTAATTTGTAGTGTATTCTACTGCCGTTACAGCCTTTGGGTGCAGGAAATTCCTTGGACACTGCACAGGGATATGATAAGAGAGAAGCATGATAGTAATTCTCTCCAGTTTCTCAAAGGCAGATGCCAGCACGGTCACTAGCTCCCAGCTAGGAACTAGCAGCCAAAGTGGATGGGCTGAGGAGGGCATCGCGAAGCTGACAATAAGTTAATTCCTTCAGGAATTCACAACTAACATAACCAGCTAACATAACCACTTCAAATGCAACATAGACAACATTTCACCACATGAGTTTACTTGGAACTTGTTGGTCATCTTTGTGGTTAATGAAGATGGAAGATGATCTGTAGAAATGGTCACAGATTTCCAGCAAGGTTAAATGGGGGAGGATGTGAGCTTGGAGTTTTTTCAGCAATGCAGCTCTGCTGTGGGAACTATTATTGTATCTTTCCAGGCCAATTCCACATCTTTTTATCCATGTATTTTTTGTGTGTTCCTGGTGTGGTTTAGAAGTTCTGCTTGTTTACCATATGCCACAAAGAAATCTGATGCTGAAGTGGTTATTTGGGAAACCTTTATTTTTGCAGGGTACAGAGTTTTTCTTCTACATAAGGTACATGCATGGTCTTCCAGAATCAAAGATGTATCACTGGGCTTCTCCAAAGGCACTGCTCCTCAGTCCATCCAATAGTAATACATGTACCTAATGGATTAGAGAAAAGCTGCTTACAATAGATGTTTGCTGCAAAATAAGTAGCTGTCTGCTCATGAAAAGTCCTGTGCCCCAGATCCCCCATCTGAATACGGATTCTTTTGCGTGATTTAGTGGGATTTTTTCCTTCTGAAATATTTTGCTGCTTTTTCTCTTGATTTTTTTGAAAGACAGCTTTTACTGATTATCCTTCAGGAACCTCAGGCCTGACGAAGAAGCAGTGTTATGTTTTTCCATGCCCACAGGGTTTATTGTGCTGGAAACTTTTATAATGAATGTGCAGAGATAGTAAATCTTTTTCCCTCCCCTCCCTGCCCCCTTAGATTGCCAGTTGGAGAGAAGCTGGGAAATCTTTTAGTACACATACGTGGTGGGGAGGGGAGCAGTGATGCAGAGAGACTACAGGAAGGAAGAAAATATTATAACTAATCTCTCCAGATCTAATCTGTTTGTTCTAGATTATTTTCTGTTTTCCCTGGCATTTGTTCTCAAGGCCAAATGAGCAACAGGAGACACTGCTTAAGGGCTAGAGTTTGTTGCATGTCTTTGAGCAACATTATAAGGGGAAGCTGTTACTTTTTGCAAGGTTGGGTCCTAATTTTCCACTTCAGGCTGTAATTTCATTTCATATGTGATATGAGAACTGAATTTTTGTTTTGGGAAAGGGAGGAAGAGAGTCTGCCAGGACTAAATACTCATCTCAGTTTAATTAAGCACAAACCCCCAGTTGTTTCCACGTGTTTTTTTAAGACATTTTTAGTTTACAAGTCTGGGAAATGTCTTG